ACTACCTTGCCTAAATGCTTATAAACCAAAACAGCATATTATGCCCCAGTCAACTGCTAGAATTTTCACTTCCTAAAACCGTAAGACCTTAATTAACTTCAATGAATAAAATTATCTATCCAGTACTGCAGTTAGTTGTGGTATGCTATCTCTGCCTTATTCTCACCAATCATATGACAGATACAGACATTATTACCACAGCAGATCACCAAACTTAAACAGCTACAAAGTATAGTATGGAAACTCATCAAACTCCAGGTGCACACACTTAGCAGCAAAACTATCCGACAAACTCGATCAAGCCAAGACCGATAACGCTTTCAAAGCCGGCTTCTTTTGCGCTCGTCCACTTTCCCCTTTTGCCCCTGCTCGTCATAATTTTCCCCACGAACCGTAACACGATTAAAAGAAAGCATCCTCGGGTGTGCAACCAACGCTGCCGAAACATCCCCCCACCAGTCAGGATTCCTCATGTACCACTCCATAGTCCTCCTCAACCCATCCTCCCACCTCGTCTTCTCCACCCACCCCAAATCCTTAAGCTTCCTTGAGTCCAAAAAATACCTCTGGTCATTAAACGGCCTGTTCTCCACAAACTCCACCGCTCCCGAGCATCCCTCCAAACCAAACATCCGGCACACATCCCTCGCCACGTCAGCCACGCTCTTCTCCTCGCTCGTCCCTATATTGTACACCTCTCCCACCTCCCCTCTATGGACTATCGTGTCGAAAGCCTCCGCCACGTCATCGCAATACAAGTAGCTCCGCACGTTTGACCCGTCACCGTGCACCGGTAAAGCCCGGCCCGCCATCGCCAGTAGAATGAATTTCGGGACGAGCTTCTCGGGGAATTGGTGGGGCCCGTAAACGTTGTTCCCACGCGTGATGATAACGGGAAGATCATACGAGCGGCCATAGGCCATGACAAGCATTTCGGCTCCGGCTTTGGATGCAGAGTAAGGGTTCGTCGGGAGGAGTCGAGAGGCCTCGTGGGCCTCGTTCGTCTCACCGTAAACCTCGTCGGTGCTGACGTGGACGAACCGCGAGACGCGGGTCGAGGCCTTGCAGGCCTCGAGGAGGACGCAGGTGGCATAGACGTTGTTGCGGACGAACTCGAAGCTGTTGCCGAAGGAGTTGTCGACGTGGGTTTGGGCGGCGAAGTGGAGGACGGTGTCGATGGATTCGGCGGCGAGGATGTGGTTGATGAGGTCGGCGCTGCAGAGGTCGCCCTTGACGAATTTGAAGTTTGGGAGGGAAAGGGAAGGGTCGAGGTTGCGGAGGTTGGAGCAGTAGTCGAGCTTGTCGAGGACGAGGATGCAGTAGTCGGGGTGTTTGGATGTGAGGTAGTTGGAGACGTGGGACCCGATGAAGCCCGCGGCGCCGGTGATGAGGATGTTTTTCGGTTTGTATGTTGGCATGTTGGAAAGGGATTAGGAGAATCTACAGAAGAACAAGGGATTTTTTTTTTTTTATTAGTTAATCAAATTAGGCAATTCAACAATAATATGTACACAAGATGTTTTTTTTTTNNNNTGACTGTGTTGATTTTTTTTCCTGGCATTTCACAAGCCATGATTTGAACAATTCAGAAAAATTAGAAGGTATAATGATACAGTAACAAGATTTATTGAAGGGGAAAAAGAATCCCTTTCTGATAATTGAAATAGCAGACACAAACAGATCGCCAATGTATAAATCAAATGCCACAAAGTCCAACACTGACCCTAATCATAGCCCTAAATCATAAATCCAGGATGCAAGATTGGGAACTCAACAATAATATATACCCAAGATATATAATTTTTTTTTTCAAATGTGTTGATTTTTTTTTGTTCTTTGGCATTTCACAAGCTAGATCACATGTAAAGCTACTTTCCCCATTATTTGAACAATTCAGAACAATTCAAAGGTATAGTGATACAGTGACTATTGAGGGGGAAAAAGACTCCCTTTTTATAAGCCTAATGTCATTCAATTGAAATAGTAGGCACAAACGGATCGCCAATGTACTAATCAAATCGCACAAATTCAAACACCGACTTAAATCATAGCTTATCCTAAAAGTGATCGCACGGTAAAGAAGCATAATGCACCCAAATTTAAACATTATCAGAGGAATCAAACACAATAACACACAAATGTCAGAATCATGAAAGAAATAGGTCAAAGGATTCGATCTAAATTACCTGAAACAGGAATCACCGATCATGAACAGGATCAGAACAATTGAGGTCGTGTTCGAAATATGTAAGATCGAGGAGAAAATGCAGAAAGTTATGGTTTTTGATCTGAAAGCAATGGTGTTCCTTGTAAAGAATTTGTAGGAGAGCTAACCAGTTAAAAATTGTTTATTTATAGCGTTCACTGACCAACCGGTCTCCAGTCTCCATAGTTTGTATGTGTGTGGGTGTGCGGTTATGACCAAGTTTGAGCCTAATACCAAGTGGTGATTGGATATAAATAAAACTGACTAGATTAATGGTTAAATTAAATTAATATAGAATAAATTGATTGACAGAGGATTTAGTATAATTTTGAATTTGTATTTAAATAATATTTAAATTATAATGATTAAAATTTAAAGTTGATAAAATATAAAGGTAAGAGAGAGGTTATTGAGAACGATAAGTAGTTAAAAAATATTAGTGGATTATTAGTGAATTAAAATTGATTTGATGTGCAAGGATGATTAATTAATATTATTTAATTATATTAATAATATTGATGATAGTTGAATTGAATTTATAATATATATATATATATAATAAGAATTACTATTTACTACATTTAAAAAATAATTCCTGCCAAAAAATTAATTGTATACTATAAATAAAAATAAAAGATGGAGCATTAAATGCAATATTCAATTTGTTAGGTCAACTGCATGAATCTCGCCAGCATTCTAACCATGTTTTCAAAAACAGTTTGTACAGAATTTTATGATGCTTATCCTTAAGATAATCTTAATAATTATTTTATAAGTCCAACTTATAAACATAAATCTAGGCGTGGATAGCTAAGAAAAAAAAAAGATAATTATTTAATTGAATAAGTAGTTTGGCCATAAATTTTCAGACTAGCTAAATTTGAACTTAATTGAATAAAAGTAGTTCGGCCATAGATTTTCAAAATATTTTGTATGTCTTTATTAATGAAAAATATTTTGTACGTTATTTTTAATGATAATTCGGGTATCTAAATATTTATTATGCATAAATTACTAAACATAAAAAAAAAAAAAAAAAAACTAATTTTCAATACATTTTGTACTCACGTGACGTGTTTTTGTATCATAATTCTGGTATCTAAATATTTATTATGCTTGCTCGACGTGAACTTGCAAACAGTAAAAAAACTAATTTTCAAATTATGTTGCACTCACATCTTTTTGGGAATATGCTCGGCGTTTACTTGCACTCACATCTTTTTGCTAACGGTAAAAAAACTAATTGCGTGTATCCAAATACATGTTTTATGTTCTTTTATACAAGATAATTTTATATTCTTTACAATAAAATATGCTCGACTGTTGGCTCCGTAGCATTATTTGTAAATTATATCACGTGTTAACCCACATTATTATTTAATATTAATTATTTAAATCTTTAATTTATAACTAACATTTAATATTGTTTACCCGTGCATCGCACGGGCTACGCACTAGTTATAACTTCTATATAAAAATTATGTTGTCACTCAAAATATGTTTCAACTTGTAATTACTAACCTCGTTTTTAATTGATTGCAATTAGATATGTGTGACCAAATTTAGCCTGATAAGTCGTAATTTAATTTAAGTGTATAGAATGCTTATTAGTTTGAGCTTTTTCAAAATTAAATTAAAATTTTAAAAATTAATTAAAACAAGCCCATTTAACGATTAGATTTGTGTATTTTTTTTTAAATTTTTAGTGATGTTTTAAGGTTTTTTTAAATTTAAAAATTTTTGTGACTTTTTAAGATTCTCTAGTTTAAGTGGGATCCTTAAAAATTTCATGCATAGAGGTAAAATTTTGTGTAAGATTTTATTAGTTGTAATTTTACTCTTGCAATCTCAGAAAGTCTTAAAATTTTCAATCAAGACTTTGTGTCATGTTGTGACATTAAGTCTTAGCACTGTAAGACACATATCTCCACTTATTTTACATTAGGATTTGTTAAAACTTCATTTGACACTGAAATATTTAAATTCAATTCAATATTTTTTTTAAGATTTGTGAATTTTAGTGAAATCTTTAAAAATCTCAAGTAAAGGTGGGATTTTGCAGTGGGATTTGATATAAATAAATTGGGTTTGAAATCTTAACAAATTTTAAAAATTCTAAACAGTTTTTAATGTTATATAAGTTAAATACCACATGACTTTTTAATACTTTTTAAAATTTAATTAAATACCTCAAAACTTTTAAAAGTTTTAAAATGTCTAAGGCGATGTATTAATACAGGATTTTTTTAAGACTTTAAAACTTTTGGTGTATTTCCTTAGACTTTTAGTAATGTATTCATTTGATATTTTAAAAAGCCTGACAAAAAACTGATGTAATTAACTTATTATTAGACTAAGATTAGTTAGAACTTTTGATGAGATTTCAAAGGAAAAACCATATATGGAATCAAACTCCAAATCTCACATCTTACTTAATATTTTATAGGATTGCTCATAAATGTGAAAATTTTAAAATGGTTCAAATCTTAAAAATTTCAAAATATCACTCAAAATTTCAAACGAATACACCCCACTAAGTTAAATACATCAAGATTTATAAAATCTCAAAAAAAAACCTTTGAAAGCCTAACTAAATACACTCCTTGAATACCTCGTGATATTTTAATTTTTTTTTTTAAATTTCAATTGAATATTCATGATTTTTTGAGACTTTAAAATATCAAACGAATACACTGTAATTCTTAAAATCTCAAAAGCCTTTAAAATTTGACAACTATTGTTTTGGGATTTCGAAAAACTTGTTGAGATTTTAGAAATTATGGTGTATTTAAATTAGAATTTTAAAAAACTTAAAAAAAGTTTTGGATTATTCATTTGAGATTTCAATTTTTTTTAAAAAAAACCCTAAAAGCATGCTTGTTTATGAAATAATTTGCTCAAAATGAGTTATTTTGATTAACTAGAGTTTAATTTGAAAAATGTCGTAGGGTTAGTTGTTAGTGAGATTTTAATAATGTATTAAAATAATATTTAAAATAAAATAATTATTATTGATTTGATGTAAAAGTAGGGATAAATGATTGGAAATGTAGGTAGTTAAAATTATGTGAGTGGATGAATAGTGAATTAAAGTCGATGTGTTATGTAAGAATGATTGGTTTATAATGTTTAATTATATAAATAATATTAAGGATAGTGGAGTTGAGTTAAAGTTGAGTTAGATTTTGAATATGAAATAAATGTGAGCAAATTATTTCATAAACAAGCATGCCCTAAGGTATTTAATTTATATAATATTGATACTTAGTGCAACTAAAACCTCTTTGTCCCCAAATCCTCTATGCCCCTGTAAACAGTAAAACCTAGTCCATGAGTTTTCCGTCAGCCTCCTCTCAGCGGGGCGCTACGTACCGCCGCGGTGATGGCCGCCACCAGGTCGTGCTCCCTGGCTCCCGTAGAATCGTGGTCCTCTCGGTCGGGTAGCGTCTCGCCGTTCTAAAATTGGTTGGCTACGCGATCTCGAGGGCGATTCCGACGTTCTACAGTGTGGCAGGGCGGCTTGCTCCGATTACTGCCTTGTGGTGGTCGGAGCCGACTCGTCCCCGTTTCCTGTCTTCCCTGGTATTGGGCAATGGGTCTCGCAGGTGGGTGTGGGTCGTGGGCCTCGTGGCTCGCAGGTTGTCTGGACTCTGGTTTTAGGTCCGTGGATTTTGGGTCTAGTTAGGCATAATTTTACTGCAGTTTCTGAATCTGCGACTTAATCCGTGTCTCTGTCCGTGGGAGTGGTTAGCCTCAGGGGTTGGTGTCGTGGTTTCTTTTGGGGAGTAGCTTGCCAGCTGTGGGGAGGACTTTATTCTAGTTTTAATGTGTTCAGTTCTTGTTGGCGTTTGTTTGTTTGTTTTTTTTTTTTATGTATTTTTTTTGTTCTCTCCTTTTTGGGAGTTAAAATTCTCTAATTGTGGAATTTAGATTACTACTTTTGCAGTTTGTGGTGTGTTTAGTGTAATAGCTTTTAGGTTACAAGCATTATAGTCATGTACGCCTCTATTTGAATCAAGTTGTTTAACTGTTTCAGCTGATTAGTTAGTCACTTGTAAATATGTGTTTTTATCAATTAAATTATAACTTTCTAAAAAAAAACCAAAATTTGGTAAAATTTCAAATAAAATTACATATGCCAAATATCATAATCAAATCCCACTTTAAATTAGATTTTTATGAATTTCGCTAAAATCCACACATCTTAAAAAAGTCTTGAATTTTTATTAGAAGATTTTGAACTCTCTCTCAAAATTTGAATAAACAAACGAGTCCGCAATCACCATTTGTTGTCAACTTTAACCTTGTCATCAGTGAAGAAGAAAATCTGAAATCATCTCGAGAATCCTTGATCCGGACGAACTCTGATTTGTCTGCACAACCCACGATGTATTTTCCAGGTGTTCGTGATTATCAATTCAATGCTACTAAATGCGTGCTCCTTTTCCTTTTCAGTTTGATCGGTTTTAGCCCTTCTGAGATTTGATCCCCCAGTAATAGATTTGGTGGTGAATTGATTGGATGAAGTTTTCTTGTAAAACTGCTCTCTTGAATCTCTGTTTTTTGGTTCAAAATTAGAACAGGGTTAGTGATTAGTGAATGTAGACTTTGAAATGATGTGTCTTAGATTTAGATGAAGTTTATACATGAAGTTGCTTTCTTGAATCACCTTTTTTGGTTTAAAATTGAATGCAATTACTGAAAATTTAACGCATAAACTATCAGTCTAACGTCAGAAGTTATAAGGCTTGTAAATTGGAATAATGCTAATTGGGTTTATTGTCCTGTAGTTGATGCACAGAGAAAGAACCACCTTATTTCTTTGTGATTCTTTGTTTTTTGGTGGATATTCGGGAAAATTCGTGTTCATTTCGGATGTTTCTTGCGGAAAATGTAAACTCATTTTACGTTTTCTCAGCCATGTTTGTACGCGGGAACAGATTTTTCAAGCAGTCTAGGAACACAAGAAGTGCTCAATTCCCAGTTCTGTTTACATTTCTGATTCTGATTGTGTTTGCACTGGTTCTTCTATTCGGGAAAAATGGCGATAAATCCACTTTTGTGGCCGATCCCTTGAACCAAAAATGGGATAGCTACGACTCTATTGTCCGATTAAATCCAAAGGTAGAACTCAGGAATGGGACTGATTTTGTGTGGCAAATACCCGATTCGCCTAAGGCCGTTCTCTTCTTGGCTCATGGCTGTAGTGGTAAAGCCGTTAACTTTTGGGATAAATCCCCTAATTGCCCTAACTGCATTGGTTTACCTGAAGAAAGGCTTATTGTTCTTCATGCACTGGCCAGAAAATTTGCTGTGCTTGCTGTGTCGAGTAAAGAAATATGCTGGTCGCTTGGAGATGAAAGGTTGATCGTTAAGGATATAATCAGGTGGTGGACTGCAAAACAAAAGCTCGATAAACTGCCTTTATTTGCATTGGGTGCTTCCTCTGGTGGATACTTTGTGTCTGTTCTTGCTAATGAGATGAAGTTCAAAAGTATTGCTTTAATGATTGCTGAAGGGGTTTACAGTCATTTGGAGATAACAAAAGATTACCCGTCCACACTTTTCGTGCACATGCCGAAAGATGGGACTAGGAAATGGAAGATAGAAAAGTATTTAGCGGTTATGAGGGAAAAAGGGATTGATGTTGCCGAAGTTAAGTGCTCGGAATTCCCCTTGATGCCTCATTTCTTTGCTAACAGAATTCCAGGTGTCGATTTCGCCTTGTCTGAGAAGTTGTTTGGTGTTTTTAAGGAAAAAGGGTTTCTTGACGAGAACGGCTACCTGAGGGATGACGGGCGTGCGATACCGTGGAGAACGGCCATTGAGGAGAGAAATATTATTCTTCCGGATAAATCTCTGGTCAATCATATTCAAGAGGAAATGAATCTTGCTTTTGCATATCATGAGATGACGAGCGTGCCATCCGAGCATATCTTTTACTGGTTTGAGTCTCATATGAACTGACGAGAAGTTTGACTGTTTAGGATTTTTTCCATTTCCTTTTTCATTTGAAGGAGATTTCGATTTCGATGAACTGAAACCACAAAGCCTCGAATAAGGAATAGTTAACTGTGGAGAGCAGAAGTGCAGCCAGTTCTTGAATGAAGTATGTAGAAGTTGTGTTTGTTAAAATTGAAAATGGTCTTTATATAGACTGGCGTTCTCTCGAGACAGGTCTCTTCTATCTGACCCTATTGTTTACTACAGTTGGGGAAGTAATTAAATTAGTGATCAACACACCTGTTTGGCCTGAAAATTAGCAACTCTTCCGATTGGCACAATTTGTTTCCCGTTGTTCATGTTTTTCAGTTGAATTGTAACCCGCATTTTCTGTATCTACGAGTCACTCTTTGCTCTTTGGACCACGGCATGATGGTAATTGGAGTAGTCAGGTGTATGTTCATGCATTAGTTATTTTAAAAACTGTTATGATGATTACGAAATTGCTAAGTATTTTGAATTGATTTGTCTTAACTGTGACTTTATTTAACAGCAGTTTTAGAATGTTCACTTCCTTGTTCGATTTTATGCATTAATAATGATATATGGTTGAGGTACCTATTTCATTTGAGTCGAACTCTTGAATATACCAGTTCATTTCCAGTTTTCTAATGTAAGAAGTGCCCTTAGAAATACTGCCACGCTCGGATATTGTATATCAGAAATGATATTTGCTAATTGGATGAGAAAATACAAGCAATTTGATGTTAGGAAAAATTAAGGTGTTATTATTGACTCACTTGTCATTTGTCTCCTTACTCTTTCTGGTGAGAATTGTGGGAAGAAAATGAAGCCTATACGGAGAATTTGATTGAATTTAAGATGTAACTTTTTTATATTGATTAACTTATTTAGTGGTTGGTTATGTATTTATGTTCGTAATGTTATTTTAGTTTAAATAAAATTTTTTGACACTATTGATGATCGAAAATATGAAAATGAGTGAGTAGTGTATCGATAATTTCCCTAGCAATTGCATGTTGTGGATAAAGAGATCTTGAGAGGAAATTACTCAAAAATCTTTTGTCAATCCAGCACAGTCTCACTATATTTCGATGTTATACTTTTCGCATCCATGAAGACGATTGTGCCATTTGCCTATGGACAAACATAGAAGTATGTCTACGGTTGATAAGATGTTAGGAGTTTGCCATGGCTACATGCAAGCATGTTTTTCACATATGGACTCTTAAATTTTGATTTGAGCATTCATAAATTTATAATTCTTTGTTATTTTGAGGGTTTCTCCACTAGCTTTTGTTAGATGCATGCATTTCATATTTATTTTATTTTATTACATTTATTGTCTGCTCGAGGGGATGGTGGATGAAGTATATTTAATGAGTATGGGACATTGTGTTGTGAAATATTTCAGTAGAGAAGATCACTATGTAGTTTGGTTCATGGAATTATAGAGAACGTGCGACATTTATAACTCTGTGGAGAGGGATTGGTGCAGGCTAATCAAGACATCGTGAGTTCAAATTGCGATAGTTCAGTTCCATTAATTCTAGATTCTACATGAATGATATTCCTGATACTATGTTACTTTGTTTTTATTAAAGTAATCACAGAATTAAGGTAGTAGGAACACTTATTAAGTTAATATCAAATGTT